TATATGTGATAAAAAATCATGTTAATTAATTTACATAAACTTTAGCTTTGATTTTCTCGGTTTAGACAAAGTTTATTTTAAAAATTACTTCGCCAATGAACTCGTATAGGTCCGTATAAGATGAGTCGTTTTTGAAGCCATTTAAAGCACTTGTAAGGCGTGTTTTAAACAGTACATAAACAACTACAGGGCATTATTATAAGCCTTCTTTGTCAATTTTAATGACAGCCTTTTAGCTTAACAAGCCCCGGTTTGGTAAAACATGGTCAAGAAACATCTGATTGCAGACAAGCAGAAAATTGCATCGGAACCGCTGTCACCGGATTAGCTTTTTTGTGTCTCTGCTCTTATAATAAAGTTTCTTTATATTCAAAATTAAATAGTGCAATTATCCATAGCCGCGGGGTAGAATTGCAAGTCATGATTCGTTGTGGGGTGATTTTCATTGAGTTCGGCGGAATTTACTCCGACGTCAGCAAGTCTGCCAACAAGCCGTCAACAAATTGTCCTTTTCGCATTGCTTGTCCCAAGTTGTCAATAAGTTTGGAACGAACTGTTAACAACTTGTAACAAGCTTGTTGATAATGTCAGACTTGTTGCAAGTGCAAGGTTGTTCCAACAAGTCCGATACAGTCATGATATAACACTAATATTGTCACAACCTTGTAACATTCTTGTTATATCATGACTGTATCAAACTTGTTAGAACAACCTTGTAACAAGTTTGATAATGCCGCGTCAAGCTTGTTACAAGTTGTTAACAGCTTGTTCCAAACTTGGTACAACAACTGGGAACAAGCAGTGCGAACATAACTTGTCGACAGCTTCTGAACAGATTTGTAACAACTTGTTTGCAGACCTGTAACAACTTGTGCGTTTTTACGTGTGTAATAAAAAAATTTAAAAACATTGGTAAAAATCTCACAACTTGTCAACAAATGTGTTCGCAACAGACTTTGTAGCAACCTTGTCAACAAGCTGTAACAATGCTGTTAGTATACTATTTACAACATGAGCGGCCGTGTTGTATCGGATATACAAACTCGAGCCGAAGGCGAGAGTTTGTATATCCGAAAAACACAGACGCGAATGTTGTAAATGGCTTAAAAAACGACTCATCTTATGAGTTCATTGGCGAAGTAATTTTAAACATAAATTTTGTCTAAGCCGAGAAAATCAAAGTTAAAGTTTATGTAAATCAACATGAATCTGCCTCACATATACAGATACGACACGCTAATGATTTTTATTTGTGTTTTCTTCATGAATTATTCATGTCGCCTCGTTGAATGGAACATTCCATCTTTCACCTCATGAAAATATTCTTACCATTGCACTCATAAACATTCATTATTTGTATATTGTTTGAATTGCATTCGACGCGACCAAAATTCGACGTATGGCCTGAGTCAATTGACTGGACTAATTTCTAAGTCGTTTTAACTTCAATTAGCATGTGCATGGGCACAATTTATGGAGTTTTAATATGTTCGTGCGATTACAATGCATTCTAAACCATATCTATGTTCTAAACTCCCAGAGGTAATGACATTTGGGTGTTTACAATAAAAAGGAGATTTCTTAAGGCCTGATTCCACGAGCGCTCTTTCTCGGCGAAATATTTCGCATGTTTCTTTTGAATTGTGAGCAATCAAGTAGAAATAATTTATTCGAGTGGTCGCAATTCAAAAGACACAGGCGAAATAATTCGCATTTCGCCGAGAAAAAGCGCCCGTGGAATCTGGCCTATAAAGCCAAAAGGGTCACTTTCCCGAGACACCCTGTTGTGCCACTACGGCGAAATGACGTGTTTGTGAATATTTTAGTTTCAAGCAACACCCATTCCAGGCATTATTTTTATATATTTCAATATAGTATTATCTAAAGATCAGTCGAAGATATAAAATTCGTTTAATTAGCCGGTAAATCAATGTAAAACATCAGAAATATTTAAATTCAATGTTAAATTGTCAGGAGACTCGAACCGAATTATAGTCAAACCTACGCAGGCAAGTCAAACCATGCACAGATCCGTTCTGTTGAAACTAAATATTTAGTGCATACGATTTAAAGTTTTCTCATAATAAACTGTCTATGGGAAAGCCATTTTTTTTTACGGTGGCCAAGTGGTTAGCGCACTTGCCTTTCACCTCTGAGGCTGCAGGTTCGAATCTCACTAAGTACCTTCTCAGTGCGACTCGAACCCAGTCCCCATGTGAAAAGAGGAAAAGTCAACGCTCTGCCGAACGCCGTGGGTTTTCCCCGGGTACTCCGGTTTCCTCCCACAGGGAAAAGTTGACAGGGTGGGTTAGGTAAAAAGGGCCCACAGTAATTGGCATATGCTGTTGTGGTGACCCTGCCCTAGTTGGCGAAGCTAATAAAAACAAATTTTATATAGACTATAGGATTTTAGGTTTCAATCTATCGTTTTAACAACTAACTTTGCGTGTGACAGGCCCAGACTCGCATTGTCATCGAACTGACTGCATTTCTGAAGTGGTGCCAATTGTGCCATGCATGCCGAATCTGCGGCATGTCATTTTTCGGCTAGTAAACATTACCGAACTGCCGTTGTTTCTGAACTTTGTGTCTGAACTATCTGTGGGAAAAGGATTAAATTTAAAAAGCTTTACGCCTTCGCCCAAGGCGTGGAAGAAATTTTTGGGATAGTTCAGACACAAACCACGGCAGCTTATTGTAGAATACTACCTACACTCGACCACCACGTTTGAGATTTCTTTTTCAGGTAGTTCGGACACAAACCACGACAGCTTATTGTAGAATACTACCAACACCGGACCACCTCATGCGAGATATCTTTTTCAGGTAGTTCAGACACAAACCACGACGGATTATTTTAGAATACTACCTACACTGGACCACCGTGTTCGAGATATCTTCTTCAGGTAGTTCAGACACAAACCACGGCAGCTTATTAATATGGTAGAATACTGCCTACACTGGACCACCACGTTTGAGATATCTTCAGGTAGTTCAGACACAAACTATGGCAGCTGATATAATATGTTAACGATGAACCACAAAATCTGAGATATTAAAACAATTTAATGTGCAATATACCGTCACACAGCGAATCCCTTGCAAAGCCAGGTGATACCCAATTCAGCAAAACCAAAAATATGAAAAGACGGTTAAGAACCATCTCTTGAAGAAAATGAAAGACTCCTTGGTATATTTTTTAAAGTGTTTAACTACCCAGCACAATTTCAGTGAACAACAAACCGGCTATATTCGTCGCATTATAATATAAATTTTCGAACGATGCATGCGTGTAATCGTATTTGAATATTAAAATATGTCCTTGTTATGGTAATTAATGACGTTAAGAAACCGTGAGAGCCAAGGAAACGTCAATCAATTTTATTGGAAAAACAAACATTTATCGACAAGTTTAGTGGGTAAGTACATTTGCCTTCGTTTTTGGTCGGCCGACATAACATCAGTCAGGCTTACAACTGACATATAACCAGTCAGGCTGATATTTTGATTTACAACTGACATTTGAGGATTGGAATTTTATCCCGGAAGCCCGTATTATGACTTTTCTATGCAAATATACTTCAGGAATGGCATTAATATCAGCATATATGTGGGTGTTTTTGTTTTGCAAGTCATTCAAGGCCATTTGCGTTATGGTTAATACAATGGTGAATGCCTCAAAGGTAGCAACAGTTGCCAGCTATAACACCAACAGCCACTCCTAATTGAACTCCAGATTAAAAAAATCCCTCGAAGAGACAGTTGGAACAAGTCTACCACGTATAAATTATCTCATAATTATCTACCCACTCATTGTCTTGACTTAGTCGACTATCTTGGGGATCAACAATATAAAAAATTGTTTAAAAATAGACAGGTTCCATACAAAAATCTAGCCTTACAACAGGCCAAAATTTAATTACATCTTCAGTACTATACTGAATAATATGTTACATATGTACATTTATGATAAATATATAACATTTATCAACACTTCACGGGAAGGGAGAATATCGAGTCTCGACTCTTTTAAATCGGCCAACAAGTCTCCTTCCAGATTTGAAATTCGTTTGAACTTTTGAACGAGCCATAATGCATTTATGAAAATATAAAACGGACGATTAAAATTCATCATGATACATCAGTTGTTATATCACCTGTCACGTGACATCATTTTTGTTATTTCCATAAAACGTCACGACATTATAGAGATGACGTAATATTCTGACTGTGATGACGTCATTTTATCATTTATATGACGTAATCTTATAATACTTCACTTACGTCATTTTATGACTTTAAGAGTGAAAATTCACGATCATTGTATCTGTATTTAAGTGATATCATCAAATGACATCACAATTCCGGTATACTGATGACGTCACATTTAATATGACGTCACCATTTAATATGACGTCATCATATCACAATAAGAGGGGAAGTGAATATGTGACGTCATCGTGATATGACGTCATAATGTGACGCTATGACGTGACCTCATCGTGCGGCGTAACTTCAGAAGTCACAGACGAGAAACCTTTCCGTATAACCTTCGCCTCAATGCATCGAGGCCTCTCCTCAGGTTCGGGCGTGTAGGTAAAAGTGAGGTTCGTCGGGTATATTATACCATCATTGCGCACCAGACTGACAGGAACCTGCGTAGGCTGACGTACGAATTTCCAAGCAGATTGAAACGCAGATATATCTGGTACGAGACACAGCAGACTTTCAGCACACCTGAGTGAAAGATTAAACATGTTGATAAACAATTAAGCTAAACTTACTTTATTTATACTGGAGAGCTCTATCAGTTCTAAACTGTTCTTCCTAGAGGTCCAGTAAGGATCATCCCTTATTGATCCAGTGTTACTATAGGAGGAAAACTAAACTAAAATAACTTTATTTATACTGGAGAGCTCTATCAGTTCTAAACTGTTCTTCCTAGAGGTCCAGTAAGGATCATCCCTTATTGATCCAGTGTTACTACAGGAGGAAAACTAAACTAAAATAACTTTATTTATACTGGAGAGCTCTATCAGTTCTAAACTGTTCTTCCTAGAGGTCCAGTAAGGATCATCCCTTATTGATCCAGTGTTACTATAGGAGGAAAACTAAACTAAAATAACTTTATTTATACTGGAGAGCTCTATCAGTTCTAAACTGTTCTTCCTAGAGGTCCAGTAAGGATCATCTCTTATTAGAGACCTTAAGATTGACGTTTACGGCAAACGTCAAACCGCTAGCGAAGTTTTTGATTTTACAGCTCTATTATTGTAGCTTTTACACCAGTTTTGAAATATGTTAAACTGATTAAACTTCTGCTCTTTAGCAATGATTTAAGAAAGAAAATTAACCACTAGTCATGCCATTCACCAAAGCAGTAAATTAAGATTTGGCGTTTGAAGTTGACGTTTGAAGTATAAATTTCATGCTTTAACGACTACAAGCCCTCGTAGCAGTTCAGGCATGAAATTTATACGCCAAACGCCAACTTCAAACGCCAAATGTCAATTTACTGCTTTGGTGAATGGCATGACTAGTGGTTAATTTGCTTTCTTAAACCATTGCTAAAGAGCACAAGTTTAATAAGTTTAACATATTTCAAAACTGGTGTAAAAGCTATTATAATAGAGTTGTAAAATCAAAAACCTCGCTAGCGGTTTGACGTTTGCCGTAAACGTCAATCTTAAGGTCTCTATTGATCCAGTGTTACTACAGGAGGAAAACTAAACTAAACTAAAGTAACTTTATTTATACTGGATAGCTCTATCAATTCTAAACTGTTCTTCCTAGAGATCCAGTAAGGATCATCACTTACTGATCCAGTGTTACTACAGAAGGAAACCTAAACTAAACTAACTTTATTTATACTGGAGAGCACTATCAGTTCTAAACTGTTCTCCCTAGAGGTTCAGTAAGGATCATCTCTTATTGATGAAACCTAAACTAAACTAACTTTATTTACACTGGATAGCTCTATCAGTTCTAAACTGTTCTTCCTAGAGGTCCAGTTACGAGCATTCCTTATAGTTCCAGTGTTACTACAGGAGGAAACCTAAACTAAACTAACTTTATTTACACTGGATAGCTCTGTCAGTTCTAAACTGTTCTTCCTAGAGGTCCAGTAAGAGTATTCCTTATAGTTCCAGTGTTACTACAGGAGGGAACCTACAGTGTTAGGTGGCACTATTCTCACAAACAATCAGACAATTACATATTGCAGGAATCACTCCCAGTCCCAGAAATGAAAGAACACTAACCACGAGCCACACTTGTTGACATAATCCGATACCATACCTGTAGTTTGTATTGGCTTCTACATCCCCAAACCAAACTCTCAAATTTGCTGTAAAGTTCTGTCCAGTGAGTTCCAACATGGCCACATCGCCTCCTCCATTCAGCTCAAGCCTTGAGACCACAGGCACTGGAGTGATAGGGCATGATATCGGACCCATGCCTTCGTAGAATGTGTACTCCGCTCGGTCTAGAACGAGAGAAGATATCTGAAAATGAGATACTGCAGTTGAAAAGCTGCCGTGAAAAAACACCACATTAATTACCTGTGCTGATAATCGTCCACGAGGCTCCGTCGTTGATCATTTCTTTTCTCGGATCTTTTGGACAGGGAGTCGACTAAATAATAGAGAAACAGATATCAGTACAAGAAACATATACTGGATAGCACTATCAATTCTAAACTGTTCTCGCTAGAGGTCCAGTAAGAGTGATCTCTTATTGATCCAGTGTTACTACAGGAGGAAACCTAAACTAACTTTATTGGTACTTGATAGCTCTATCAGTTCTAAACTGTTCTCGCTAGAGGTCCAGACAGTCCAGTAAGGGCCATCTCCTATTGACCTAGTGCTAACCCAAATACGACTAAATGCAAAAATGCAATAAAATGTGAACATTTACCTGAAATTGAATGATACGTTCTTGGGATAAACACAGATACATCCGTTCCGTGTCTTTCATATAGAATGCGACCTGTTAATCAACAATATATACATGTAGTTTTCTATAAAGATTTTTAGGTAAATGTATGTTTCGTATTTGTGTCAATTAAGTAGTATGTTACATTGCGGGGGGAGGGATCTCCATCGGATTTGGAGATCAAGATTGCAAGTCAATGTGATTAAGTTTACCTTGTGGAGCTGTGAGACAGGGTCGTCCGCATCTAGGAACGCTGTTTGTTTATCAACCTTTCGAATTATCTAAAAACAAACGAGAATTATTTATTAGCATGTACCGTCCAATACATAAACAAGCAAACAGATGAAAATATTCTAAACTATTCCAGTAAGTAAGAAAGACGTACCAGTCTTGGTAAAGCCATGCCAGTTTCAGAACAAACGAGCTTGACAGTTGATCCATAATGTATGTATCCATCTTTGACGGTAAATTCTTCGCTTTCACTTTCATCATCATCTACTATATAACATGCAAAATTTATCAGAACAATACACGATGTGGCCGTTTTGAGTAGATAGTGGAAGTGCCTGAACGAGATGATGGATACGCGATGCTATGATGAGATGATGGAGAAGTTGTCAGGTACATTATGGAATGAAGACATCAGAAGAAGATGTGGAGTGGTAGACATTGCAGAGAAGGCGAGGGAAGCAAGGTTGAGATGGTATGGACACGTGATAAGAAGAGATGAAGGAGAGCTGGTCAGA